AGATATGTGAAAATATCGAAGCTCGGAGGAAGGAAAACAGAATATTTGCCATATATTGTCATATCTACTTTTCGACTGATCTTTTATATGATATAGTAGTGCGATGTTAATAAGATTTGATATATTCGTCCGATCTTAATAAGATTTGATATATATATATATATGAGGTGATAGTGGAACTAATAAATCCCGAGATGGGTCAAGATATCTTGAAAAACAAAAACATTTTTCATACATCTAATCTTATCGACGGATCGTTCCTATGCCTGCTATATGATATAGTTGTCCGATCCGGCCGGTTCCGACATATGTACTGCCTGGAACAGAAAGACGGACCTGTAGAATGTTTCAAGAGGGTAGCCTTAAAACTGAGAGACTAGTTCGCATAAAAACAGACGGGCAGATGGACATGGGCATATCAAGTCGGCTGTTGATGCTGATCTAGAATATATATATTCTTTATGGGTTTGCAGATGTCTTCTTTTATGACAACATTCTAATACGCTCTACAAAGGTAAGCAAAACAGACAAATAGAGGTCATCAAATAATAATTTTTATTTTAGGTTTCGTTTCTAAGATTGTCAACGATTTGGGCTCAAAAGTTTGTATCTTTATGAACTTAAGCTAAAGCTGAAGTCTTAATTATCCCTGCTGAGAAAAAGCAGATTTCAAATTAGTTTTTAGCCTCTAAGAAATGAAATACAATCTGGATTAACTAGAACCCAACAAAATAACAAATAATTGTTTCTTTAAGTGAGCTTCAAGTTGAGTTTCAGTTACATTTTGATACTCGGCTTGCGTAAGAGTTATTCAATATGCCAGTCAGCTCAGGCTTTATGTAAGAAACTGGTTAATGACGTTAACGGGAGGCTGTCAAAGGCAGGTGACATTGTCAAGTGCGCAGATGCCCAATTGCGCAGTTGTGTTGTGTTGTCTTTGGTTATGCAACGAGGTCAAAGTCGGGGCGCACTGCCAGCTGGCAGGCATTGTGTTTGCTGGGCGCATCCTGCGAGCATTGCTGACGCAATAAACCATAAGAAAAGGCCGCATTGTGCGCAAGGCTCAAGGACAAAACGTTGGCCACAATTTGGCGACGCTCTGAATGGCAACTTGGGGCTGGCTAGCTGTGACTTGGCCAGGATCGTTGCCAATTAAGAAATCATACCTGTAGTTTAGCCTCATCTTTGCGACTACCTGGTCACCTGTTCGGCCGGCAATTAAAATTGGTTTATTAATTATTTTGGTGCAGACTTGCCCGAGCCCAACTCTGCTTGCACACACTTTCGGATGAAACTTTATTACACAGCTCATTAGGACTAATGATGCTTGCTCACCTGTCAGCTCAGCCTTCAGTTCTGCCCAAAAAAAAAAGACCAGAGCACAGCAAACTCGTGACTGACTGACTGCCAGATGCCCTGTTCTTAGTTCATAATTCATTCATTAGTATTTAAAAATATATTCGCCTAACTTTCCACACTATATAAATTTGTATTCTTAAATAACTTCTGTATTTATTGTGCGATTATTATCAATTTTTCGGGACTTACAGATGACACTCAAATGAGAAAAACTTAAGTTTTTTTTTATTTTTGGGACAGTTATTCAAAAATTTAAATATTCCGGGTGTGCATATAATGTGCGCATAGCTACATAACAAATTTTCATACATGTGCTCGTTTTATCTTCGAGATAAAAAAAAGATAAATTGATATTTCTGTTTTAATCTTCGAGAGAGAGTGAGAGATATAGTTTTTTCTCATTTAATTTTGTAGATAGAAATATATAAATCGATATTTCTCTTTTAATTTTTGAGAAAGAATAAAAGACATCGATATTTCTCTTTAAATCTTCGAGATAGAAAACGATAAATCGATTTTTCTCTGTTCATTTTTGGAGATAGAATAAGAGAAATCGATATTTCTCTTTTAATCTTCGGAGCAGGATAAGAGAAATCGATATTTCTCGTTTAATCTTCGAGATTGATAAAGCGAGACAGAAAACGATAAATCCATTTTTTTCTTTTAATCTTCGAGATAGAATAAAACAAATCGTTATTTCCCATTCGACCTTCTAGATAAGTTAAGAGAAATTGATTTTTCGCTTTAAATCTTCGAGATAGAATAGGAGCAATCGATATTTATCGATATGCAAAATTTTAGTTCTTATACAATTTGGGCTGCATCGACTCCGCTCGTCAAGCTGAAGAAGAATTTACATTCTTTCTGGGGCTGTTAATGCTTTCTTCTGCCCGTCACAACACCTCTCACAGTTTCGATATACCCTTTGTTAAACATTTTGAAGGGTTGCGTGGTATAAAAAAGTCAAGCGTTGCGCAAACTTGAGACCTGGCATGGAGAGCGCCACGGGGAGGAGAGGCGTTAATGAAGCTACTGCCACGGCTAGCATCAGGCCTTGTTCCTCATCTATGTGTGTGTGTGTGTGTGTGTGTGTGTGAGTGTGTGTGTGTGTGTGTGTGTGTGTGTGTGTGTGTGTGTGTTTGGCTGCCGTGTTATCCTGGCACTTAATTATATTTGTGCTCGCATGGGCCAGACAACGATGCCTGATGAGGCCAACAAGCAAATTGAACGTGAAATCCACTGATTGACTACCAAGCCATAAGGAGGAACAGACAGACCTAGACAGAGATGGAGACAGAGCCAGAGAGTGAGAGGGAGAGGAAGTGAGGGAGAGACTTGTGTGAAGTGTGAGCTAAGTGCTCGGAGGTGTTGAAGTCCTGAGCACACTCAATGCGCATTTCGCAGCTGCATTTATTTCTTCTAGCAAAAGAAAATCTTAGAAAATTGTACATAAATTTTATGGCCAACCGAAGCAGCAATACGCTACAGCATAATCAAATTCATCCCAGAAGCTAAAGTACAAATTAACATAGAAAATGCTTCTCGAAAGAATTGAAAATGAGTTTAACTTAAATTAAACTAGGTTTCTAGCTGCTCTGAATTTGTCATTTAAATTGAAATAAATCAATTGATATATAGAGCATAGAAATAATGTGCTGTTGCAGAGTTAAGCGTCTAGCTAATGTGCTTCAGCGGAAAGGGTATTTTACTTTAAACAGGAATCTTTAGCACGCCCCAGAAAAGGTGTCTCTCACTTGGTTGGCCTGTTGAAGTAAACGTTAAATGAATGCGAGAACTTCAGCTGTTAAATTTGTTTATTTGTCTGCGTGTGTGTGTGTGTGTGTGCGTGTGTGTGTGTGCGTGTGTGTGTGTGCGTGTGTGTGTTTAAGCTGTACAATGCTGCATACTTATGTGCGTTCAGGCGTCGCACAAGGGACAAACGGGCCAAATGACACGTTCCCATAAATCCTCGACATTCTATGGCCGAGTGCGTGGCTTAAGGCAGCTCATGTGTGCGTGTGTGTGTGTGTGCGTGTGTGTGTGTGTGTGTGTGTTTGTGCGTGTGCGCTGTCACATTTGTGTGATTTGTTTTGCCGGCACAAACACATGAGGTCGCAAACCCGAATGCCAAACGGCGAAAGGCAAACAGGAAACGCATAAAAGGCCAACGAGAATTTACTTTGTTAATTTACGCAACGTATTTGCATAAATAATAAATAAGTATCGCGACAAGTATCGATACTTACTCAGACTCATGCAGACCACGTGACGTATACGCAATATTTCACAAGAAATTACATACCATAATTGATAATGTTTACGGCTCGCTTGCAACTTATCTTATTATATTATTCTTGTTAATTGGGTAACTATATATATATATATATATATATATAATTTGCAGATTAAATAACACTTAAATGCAGGCGATAAAGTCGAGTGAGTACGAAATGAATACGAGAAACACAAATATTCATATGAGAAATACTTATAAGCAAATAAATAGACGTGCAAAGGGCCTACATATGTGTTTTATATATATGGTAAAAGGCTGCTCTAGTCGATGAAGAGGGGATATACCCTATATTAAGACCTTAGCTGGAGAGCGGCTCTATTAGTTCTATTCAGCCAATCGATCTCTCAGATCGGTTGTAAATTTCTTATGTTAGACTTAACAGTAGAATAAGTTTATTGTATATTCATATAAATTTAATTTAATAAAGCAAACAAAATGTAAAAAAAAAAATAACATTAGTTCAATTCTCAGACGAAAAATAGATTTTTAAATAACCTTCGCATTTACTTAATTTATTTAAATAAAAATTTAACATAAACTGACCAATTTTTAAATAATTTTTGGCGCCTAAAATTTGACATTTGAATGTGTCTATTTCTGAAAAAAAAACAAGGCTGGACTCTAGAATTGTGTCTAAACTTGAGGTGAGCAGGAAGAAGAGTGAAAATTTATTCTATTTGTTTGTCCAATCTTGAACTGAGCGGGAAGAAAAGTGAAAATATCCCAATCAAGACTATTCTCTATTTGTTTGTCTAATCTTGAATGTTCTTAATCCAAGCTGGACTCTACATTTTTGTCTAAGCTTGAAGTAAGCAAGAAGAAAAGAGAAATATTCGTAATCTTTAGGACTAAGCCGAATTTATTTTCATAGACCAACATTTTTAATTTTTTAATTTTGCTTACAATACACTGGCTGACTAGGGTGGGGTTGGGGTGGTTGGAGCAGCGGAGGCCCACATCCATTTGGATGGTTAATACTACTACAAAAAAAAAAACAATTAAGAGGTTCTAGTCGGGAGCTCCCGACTAGGGGATACCCTGAACCCTATTCTTCCAACAGGCGATAGCTTTAAAATGAAAGATGCTTGATATATATATATCTACTATTCTAGAAGCTACATGTCAAGTTTGGTGACTCTAGCTCATATTATTTGCCGAAACTGTTAAAAAAACAGGATTTCGGTATCGATTTTTATCGATTACTTGGAAACGGGGCAAGTTATCGAATATCGGAAACAAACTCGATCTGCGCGTGGACTAGGAGGACCTACAGCTAAAATTTCAAGTCTCTAGCTCCTATAGGTTTTGAGATCCTAGCGTTCATACATACGGACGGACGGACGGACAGACGGACGGACGGACAGACGGACGGACGGACGGACAGACGGACGGACATGGCTAGATCGACTCGGCTTTTGATGCTGATCAAGAATATACTTGATGGGGTCGGAGATGTTTCCTTCTGCGTGTTACATACATTTGCACAAATACATAATACACTTATTAGCCATTTTCAAGGGTATAATAAAAAATAGAAGAGAAAATGGAAACGAAAAAGGAAGCGGAAAACTCGAACTATTTAAAATACAACTTGTGCAGCTGCTTGGTCTTCACGGGCAGAAAATGTTGCATTTCATCGGGATTCGTCCAAAAGCTAGTCAAAGTCTGTAGCTCCGAGCAGGGCGCCTCGCGATATATATACTCCCTGAGTATATAATCATGCTCGATCTCCCAATGGAAGCGCGTGTCGTGCATCCGAATGAGCACATTATCGATGCGCAAAAAGTGACGCAGCAGCACAAAGAAACCGGAGGGCATAACGCGAATGCGTACGCTCATCGAGGAAATGCCATGATCGTGCAGCTCATCCTCGTACAGTGTGAGATCATGATAGAATAGTAGATTTTCGCGCTGCATTAGCTTCATTTTGTTGAGCGTCTGATCCGTCAATTCCGTGCGAAACTTATCGTTTAGTGTGCCCCGATATGTTGTGGTAAATGTCCAGTCGAATGGCTTGTATTTTTGTTCCAGGTTCTGCTCGGGGCGCGTCTCGCGCCACACCTGAGCGCAGGCCACCTCCAAGGCGGCCTGTTTGCCGTTGGCAACGAGAGCCAGTGCATCCATGGGCTTGAATTCGAGGAACACCATGTCCGGCAGATGTGGCAGCTCCAGTGAATGTTGATACTTGCACAGATCACAGCGATTGGCGTCGTCCTTGTCGCAGGACTTGCCACTGCCCAAATGGCAAATGCTCTTCAGTATGTGCGACTTCTCGTAGCTGATGGACCAGTCATTGAAGCGTATGGACTCGTAGTCCAACGGCAAACGGCGGACTCCGCATTCATTTGCCATTGCTATTACGCTGGTATAGCTGAAAATTGTATCACTCAAATAATACTCATGATAATACTAACATTATAATACCTAACGCTGTGGATGATATGGACAAGGGGAAATGGATGACGAGTTTAAAAACAGAAACATTTATTCGGAGATCAGGGTCCTGGCTGACGCCTCTAAAGGTAATCACACACCCAACAGTATTAGAACGTGTCGTTAATACTCTTCATTGTAAATACCTCATTGTAAATATCCCATCATTGCAAATACAATTTAAGCTAACAAACATTGTTACAATACCTTAGATCACAGTCTATCGCTTGGTAGAGATCAGAAAATGCTGATCGATTCCATAACAAAACAAATTAGATTAAAAAAAAAATAAGAAATCCGACCTTCTTCTGGACAAATAGACGCATGTGTCCTGATCAAGAAAATATATATATTTTGGTTTTAGAAGCGCCTTCTTCCGTCTGTTAAATACATTTGCAGTTCTTTATAAATACATCTATTTAGTAGAAATGTCTCACATTTATAGCTGGTTACTTTAAAACCTCTCTAGTTATCTATTTGACTCAAAAACACGGACAACATCGCATCTATCACATTCAACATAAAACTATAAGCATAGATGACACACCGAATGTGATACGGTCTTCAGTATATACGGTTAACGCCTTCTTTTAGCCTGGAAAAACAAAGTTTTATGGCTAATTTGACGGCCATAAAGTGTATACATATATAAACGCACATATATAGTGGATATAGTAAGTGGAAAGTGTGCGTTCAAGTCAAATGTTTGAGTTTAGTCGTTAATCGAGGCCACAATCCTTTGGCAAACACAGGCGACAAACTGTGTTTCGACCGCCTGCTGGGCAGAACCCCCGCCCCCCCGCCACGACCCGCCCCATAATGTTGATCATGATGACCACAAAGGGGGCTCCCTGTTGGGCCACATCAATGGAACTGTCAACACGCTGCAGCCGGCAGCTCCGCTTTGCTGGTAAATATTTAAAATGCCACTGAAAGCGGGCCATAAAAGAGGAGCAGGAGCTGGAGCTGGAGCTGGATACATATTGCTGTCTGCTGAGAGCGCCATCTAGCGTGTGTTGTGTGTACTTGGACTATTGTTTTACGATTTTCAGCTAATTTGTTCTGTTTATTTGCCTCGCGCGTTGACTTAATACATAAAATACCAGCATAAATACCACAAAAAATACTAGCACATTAATGTCTAAGAATAATACATGAATTATACAAATTGAAATATATATAAAGCATTATAATAAATATACATCCGTTTTGTTTTTTTGTGTTTTAATTATTTTTTCTTATTTTCTAATTCTATTTAGCCTCAACTTGTTATGTATTTTATTTGGACTGAATTTGTTGCCGTTTTTATTTTAATTTAATTGAATTTTTTTTTGCATTTCCATCAAATCTATTCACTTGTATAGTTTTATTTGAATTTCTTTTTCATGGACATCTTTTTTTTTAGCTGCACATTTTATTAAAATATATTTTATAATAATTATCTGTAATCTTTCTTTCAGTTTTTTTTCATGCAAGCCTAATTAACTTTCATTATAATTACGCTGCAATTTGTAGTTGAATGTAAATATTTGTTGTTGTTGTTTTTTCTCTCCAACAATTTAATCGTTTTTTTTTTTCGCTACTTTTCTTGCTGCAATTTTCCAGTCTCATACACTTGGTGTTTATTTATTTTCCTATAGTTCATTAACTGCCCCATAAACACGTAATCCGCCCCGTCTCCAGCTACAGTTTTGAATAGAGGCCCATCTCAAAAGTCATTAACTAAATTGAAAACCATATTAAAGGCGGGCTAACTGCCAACTGGCTGGGCTGCACGGAGACAAAGGCAAAAGGTTCGTTGAACCAACCAAAAAATAAAAAAAGAATGCACAAAAAAAGAAAAGAAAAGAAAAGAAGGAAAGAAAAAGAGACGGAAGGCAAAGCAGAAATTGTCGAGGCACGCTTCCCGGCGCTGGCGACAGGTGAGTTCTTTCCTACCAAAAAAAAAAAAAAAACAACGAGCCGCAAACAATGTCAGTCGGAGCAGGAGCAGGAGCAGCGGCAGGAGCAGGAGCAGGGCTGCAGCTCCAGGCAGAGCTCAAGCGTGGGCACAAAACTAATAGAAACGCCCCAAAACGGCGATTGCTAATGACAACCAGTTATTGGAGCAGGCGGAGGACGAGCAGGCCTCGGCGTAGGCCAGTCAAAGCAGGCGCAGGAGGAGTAGGAAAGTCAAAGCAGGCGCAGGAGGAGTAGGAAAGTTAGAGCAGGCGCAGGAGGAGGTGTCGCCTCCGTTCGCCTCTCCGTCCATCTATATCCATCTCTCTGTCTGTCTGTCTGGCATGTAGGGCGACCGATGACAGCGGCGCCCATTTCCAAGTAAATCAATCATAATTCAAGCACAACAAGTCCCTATCCTTAGCCGCCGCAACTGGTAATGGAAATTGTTTAGCTGGCGCTCCTTCAACAGCTACAGTGGAGCCTCACAAAACTGACAAATATGTAAAAAAAAAGTGCAAATACATTTTTGCCTAGATTTTGCCTTATTGCCTGACTTTGGCTGACAGTGAGAACGTGGCGCTTAAGTTGAGGTTTCACTGTACATGGACACATGGCAGGCATATCAGTTTTGTTTTGGATACTAGTTCAGTCAATTGTGTCTAGTGCCACGCCCCCGGCGCTTGCATCCCCACCCCCGCCCCCGTCTCCGCCCTCTCTGGCAGGCATTTATGCAAATTGTGTCTGAGCTTGTGTTGCGTGTCCGTGGCAAATGAAGGCGCAACGTTGAATTTATAATTGATGCGGCTGCAACAACAGCAACAACAACAACAACAACAATTGGTCATGACAACAACAACAACAACAAGAACAGCAACTAAAAGTTGCCATGGGGCAGGCTTTAGGAGCTCCACCTTACAAACAAACTTTAACGAGAAGACAACTCGAAATCAACTCCAAGTCGAGGGCGTTGCTAGGCGGCAAGGGGCGGGGGGGCGTGCCCCCCTTAAAAGCGATTTCCTGCAGGCAATTAAAGTCAAATATTTATAAAATAAAATAATTATACAAATTCATGCAATAGCCGCAATTCACAACAGAAACAATGGGAAAAACAAAAATCAACTACGAGCTGTACAGTTGGGTTTGCTCGACTAGCAGATACCCTGTACACAGCGAGGTGCTGCTGTGTCTTCCTTCTTGTTTATGTGATTAACTCGGATAATTATTGTTCGATCTTGATGAAATTTTCGGCACATAAATAGGGCGTAGAAATATATGTGCATCCCAAAGGCCGAGATAATAGCCGAATTTTTCCTTCAGTTTTGGTCTACGGAACCTATGTGTACTATCTGGGAATCTCTAAAGCAAATTTGCTGTCTCTAGCTCGTAATATCAAAGGTAAACTTATTGCCTGACAAAGCTACGCAATAGTGCGAAATGGAGTCCAGTCTTAAGAAAAAAACACACAGCTCGAACCTTGGCATTTTCCAAGGTTTTTCATTCTTTTCTTTTTTTTTTTGCACGCGGCACAACTGGACAAATGTCGGGCCCAAGCGCCCAGTGCAATTTTCACACATGTGTCCAGTGTCAGAGAATAGTTAACTGGGCAGAGAATGCAGCAGGAGGGAGGGGGGAAGGGGAGGGGGGCAATAATGTATGGCAATGGAAAAGCCAACAATTGCAAATGTAAAACGAAATGTTAATTAAATACCCTTTCAGATATATTTATAATAGAACTGCGTCATGTTTTTGTGCCTATTGTTAGTATCGCAAATGTGTCGCTTAGGCGACAATTATTCTTAATTAACTTATTTAGCTGCCATTCTTGTCCATTTGCAAAGGCAAACGCTTTTGAAATTCCAAGAAAAATGGACCAGGTCTTTTGCTAGGAGAAGAAGATATTGCAAGTGATATCTTTGGAATCAATTGAATTGAATAAATTGACAAACTTTATTCAAAGCAATATTTGAGTTGGTTTTGAAGCTGTCAGAGTTTAAAAGGCGAAAAAAACATTTAAAAACTGCATGAAAAGCGAAATTTTGGCTATAAATAAGCTAAAAATAGCTTTAAAACTGCATGAAAAGCAAAAGCTTAGCTATAACTAAGCTAAAATTAGCTGTAAAACACAAAATAGCTTTAAAAAACTGCATGCAATTCGAATTTTTTGGCTATAAATAAGCTAAAAATAGCTTTAAAACACAAAATGCATTACAAAGTGCAGGAACTCTGCGCTGATGCCAAACTTAAATGTTTAACACCTCTTGACAGCAGCGAAAATTTAATTAAATCAGAGAATATGTGTGTGAGTGTGTGTGTATGTATTTGTGTGTGTATGTGTGTGAGTGGCAGCAGGTGCAGCTGTAAATTGTTAATGCCAAGAGCCATCAAATTAAGCATTTTACCACACAGATACACACACACACACACGCGCACACACACAGACTCAAGCACGCGCCGTCGAGTGCACTGCGCCCCACAAAGTATGCAGCAGTTTTTTCCCGTTGCTCGACCGGAAATGAACAGCTGGCCTGAAAAAGTGCTCGACTTTTGAACACGTTAGAAAAACGGGTTCGAAGTCAAAGAGCTTAGCATATGTATTTATTTTAGTTGATTTTAGTTCATTCACACGAGACACGATAGAATGAAATTCATGTCAGTCAGTCGGGCGACAGAATTAGAGCTGGGCGGGGCTGGGGCGGGGCTGGGGTGGGTGGTCGAGGGGGGGTTACAAATAACATTTCTAGCAAGCACAACAACAATGCAACTATATATAGCAACCATATAGTCATGTGTGTGTGTGTGTGGGTGTGTGTGGGTGTGACCCCATGTGGCGCAGCTAGAAACTTTAATTAACTTTTGCCAGTTGTGGCACAATTGTCAATTGTCAGTGTGACCAGACGTTTTGAAGGCATAAATAGACAAATCAGTGTGGCACTACTGCATGGCCAAAACTAATTTAAAGTCTAGTAAAAAATAAATTTCTATGTACAGAAATTAGAT